CTCACCTGGGCGGGGCAGAACTCACCTGGGCGGGGCTGGGACTCACCTGGGTGGGGGCAGAACTCACCTGGGTGGGGGCAGAACTCACCTGGGCGGGGGCAGAACTCACCTGGGAGGCGCAGGACTCACTTGGGAGAGGCTGGGGCTCACCTGGGCGGGGCAGAACTCACCTGGGAAGGGCCAGAACTCACCTGGGAAGGGCCAGGACTCACCTGGGCAGGGCAGAACTCACCTGGGAAGGGCCAGAACTCACCTGGGCAGGGCAGAACTCACCTGTGCCCCCCCAGGTGCACCGGAGGCTCCTCCAGGACGACAACCGGGGGCTCGGGGAGCCGCTGGACGAGCCAGGTGAGGCCGGGCGGGGCCTGGTGGTGCGGGGCCGGCACCGGCTGCTGCTGGACACGCCCGCGGCCACCGGAGCGCACCGGCCGCTGGCCCAGGAGATGGTGACACCCCCACACCTGGTGCTGGCACCCGGACAGGGGCCTCACCTGCGCCAGGTGAGCGGGGACGGGGTGTGCGGGTACCTGAGAGAGGTGTGGGGTCACCTGTGCCAGGTGTGTGGGGGTACCTGTGCCAGGTGTGTGGGGTCACCTGTGCCAGGTGTGAGTGTGGGGGCACCTGAGGTGTGGGGGGGTACCTGAGACAGGTGTGTGGGGTTACCTGTGCCAGGTGTGTGGGTACCTGAGACAGGAGTGTGGGGTTACCTGAGGTGTGTGGGGTTACCTGTGCCAGGTGTGTGGTGTCACCTGTGCCAGGTGTGAGTGTGGGGTCACCTGTGCCAGGTGTGTGGGGTCACCTGTGCCAGGTGGGCGGGTGGGGGCGCCTGTGCCAGGTGTGTGGGGTCACCTGTGCCAGGTGGGCGGGTGGGGGCGCCTGTGCCAGGTGTGTGGGGTCACCTGTGCCAGGTGGGCGGGTGGGGGCGCCTGTGCCAGGTGTGTGGGGTCACCTGTGCCAGGTGGGCGGGTGGGGGCGCCTGTGCCAGGTGTGTGGGGTCACCTGTGCCAGGTGGGCGGGTGGGGGCGCCTGTGCCAGGTGTGTGGGGTCACCTGTGCCAGGTGGGCGGGTGGGGGCGCCTGTGCCAGGTGTGTGGGGTCACCTGTGCCAGGTGTGTGGGGTTACCTGTGCCAGGTGAGTGAGGAGGGTTCACCCAGCTCAGGTGATTGGGGAGGGGTCTCCAGGCTCAGGTGAATGGGGAGGGGTCTCAAAGCTGTTCCATGTAATTGAGGAGGGGTCTCCAGGCTGTCCTGGGTATTTGAGGAGGGGTCTCCAGGCTGACCCAGGTGATTGAGGAGGAGTCTCCAGGTAATTGAGGAGGGGTCTCCAGGCTGTCCCGGGTATTTGAGGAGGGGTCTCCAGGTAATTGAGGAGGGGTCTCCCGGCTGTCCCGGCTATTTGAGGAGGGGTCTCCAGGTATTTGAGGAGAGGTCTCCTGGCTGTCCCGGCTATTTGAGGAGGGGTCTCCAGGTAATTGAGGAGGGGTCTCCCGGCTGTCCCGGGTATTTGAGGAGGGGTCTCCAGGCTGACCCAGGTAATTGAGGAGGGGTCTCTCGGCTGTCCCGGCTATTTGAGGAGGGGTCTCTGACCATCGCCCCGCAGTTCTCGGGGCTGCGGCGGGCGCTGCCCCCCCGGCTGCAGCTGCTGTCGGTGGAGCCGCGCGGGGCCGGGACCCTCCTGCTGCGCCTGGAGCAGCTCCTGGAGCGCCACAACGGCTCCCGGCCGGTCAGCGTGGACGTGACGGTCAGCACCGGGGCTGGGGGCTGCACCGGGGCTGGGGGCTGCACCGGGGGTCCTGGGGTCAGCACCGGGGCTGGGGGCTGCACCGGGGCTGGGGGCTGCACCGGGGTCTGTACCGGGGCTGGGGGCTGCACCGGGGCTGGGGGCTGCACCGGGG